TTGCCATTTTTTTGTGTCACTTCCTGGTCCATCACCCTGCACCATAACAACACTTGTAAAACTCGTTTTCATTTATGATGCTTGTAAGAAATTCAAGTCAAATCAAAACACGACAATTGCTGCAATGTAGATGTATGTATGATGAGTTAATATCGTAATCTCCAAATATGTGAAAATGTTAGAATGCTCACCGGTACCGAGTTGATTTCGTATATTTGGCCTTGAGTGAAATCTATGTCCAATGCTTGTATGCAAGCTTCAGCAACTACCAGCCTACTAACCTCCCCTACAAGTTTATCTCCTGCAAGTAATTAAAGAAACAGTGTCTACTTAACGAAACGCAATCATCCATATAGGAAACCTTTTATAAGTGTCATGTTAACCTATTTATACGTAGAGACACTACAAAGAAAAAAAAGGCTAATAGGACAATTTACCTTTTGTGTCCTATTAGGTTGCCCTACTTCAAAACTCATTAGATTGTCCAACTTCATCCTAACAACTCATTGTAATGCCTTTAAATAAGACACAGTTTTTGGTCCGATAAACTTGGGGGCTTTTGGTTCACATAATGGAATTTGGTGGAATTGGAATCTCCATAGAAATTTTACTTTGAAGGAATTAGAATAGAATTTGACCTCGTGTTTGATTGGTAGAAATTGGAATAGAATCTCACAAAAGAATTGGAATCTCCATCTCTGTTTTTTTGGGGGGGGGGKGGGGTTGGTAGCTATGATGAGGACAATATTGGGCACGATAGTAGGGGTGGCAGTCGCCCCGACACCCCGCCAATGACACCCTCGGTCCCCCACCACCCACGTGGGTGGTGGCCAGAGGACCCCCATGCCCCACACCCGACCCTACACCCCATCGTACCCACCACCCATGGGGTGTGTGGTGGCAAGGGTGAATCGGGTGTTGGTTGTGACAACGATAGTAGTGGCATGGTGGTTGGTGGATGGGGGTGGTTGCTGTGAAGATGACAGCAGTGCCATGGTGGCAGAGTAGGGGCGCGGGATGGGGTGGTTGTGAGTGGGGGTGGGTCGGGTAGGTGTGACGGTGGCAGTTGTGACCAGGGGCAGACCTACTAAGGACCAAGCAGGGTCCCGTGCATYCGCTCACTTGATTACTGTAAAGGAAAAAAATGTAGGCGTCTTGAAGGTGCAYCCGCTTGATTTAGAGGGTGCTCTCAAATATTTTAAACCTAAGTTCTTAACACAAAATGAGTAGTTGGTGGAGTTAAAAGTTTGGGGTTCGATTCCAACCCTCTAACTTTAGATCAGGAACCTAGAGCACCGAAGTGAGGGACCAATAGTGTAAATAAAAAAATAAAAATAATAAAAAACATAAAATACATATTAAAAACAAAGCAGGAGCACGGGTGTCAATTCTTTTGAAAAATTAAAACAAACAGAAGCTCAAGCCTGTTGACCTTTTAGATTAGTCCTTACCAAAAAAAAAACCGAAACATTCTCTCGAAATTAACGACAAAGAAACCAAAAAAGTCTCCCGAAATCAACCAAAAAAACTTAAAAAATACCTCGAAATCAATCAAAAAACTTAAAAAAAATCCCCCAAAGGGCGGAATTCGGCTAAAACACATTGAACGGCTTTGCCGACATTTGATCCATTTTAAAGGTGCACCCACTTGGCCAAAATTCTAGGTCTGCCACTGCTTGTGACAATGACAATAGTGGCATAATGGTCAGTGATGGGTTGGGCGTTGGGGTAGGGTAAGGATGGGGTGGGGTGGGTGGCGGTTGTAACCGCGACAATAGTGGTGTGGTGGTGATGGGGGTGGGACGTGGCAGTGACAATAGTAGCATGCTCGTGGTTGGGGGTGGGCGGTGTTGGTTAAATTGGATGCGAAGAGATGGAGTTCAATTCCTTCACTTATGTCAAGGAATGATGAATTCTTTAATTTGTGAAATTCAATCGAATTCAAAGGATTCCTCCATTTTCATTATGTGAACCAAACATAGGATTTGGAATTTGGTCAAAGGAATTATCCATTCCAATTCCTTCATAATCCATGAATCAAACACCCTTTAAAATCTGGTTAAGTACGCTATTAGGACACCTTGGGATCCTAAAAGGCCAATTTTGTAGTTAGGAAGGATATAATTCCGATGGTCGTCCTGGGATTAGTCGACTCGCATAGCGGGTTGGATATCCAGGTTAATAAAAAAAAGGATATAATTCAGGTACCTTGACCAATTACGACGGCTCGTCGTTCACCTGCTGTAGCTTTGAGCAAAGTATTTAGATCATATGATGTATAAGGTCCATCTGTCAACCTACCAGGTCTAGAATGCAAAAAACAATATAGCACAAGTATATAATGTGCATATACAACAAGAGTGAACCATCTCAAATTCCTCGGGCGAGTAATATAATTGAAAGCACAATGGGATTAGGAGTCACAAACCTTATAATTTTATTTGAACTCACTCCTATATATATATATATATATATATATATATATAGACTTGGGATCATGTGAGACCAGCGTATTTTCGTGAGACCCGTGAGACCAGCTTTTTACACTTGAAACTTCACAGCAAAATGCTATGAAGGTTACTTTTTTTAACCTCACAATGTTTTTGCTGTGAAGGTTCGACTTTTTTTAAACCTTCACAGTGTTTTTGCTGTGAAGGTTCGACTTTTTTTAAACCTTCATAGTGTTTTTGCTGTGAAGGTTCGACTTTTTTGAAACCTTCACAATGTTTTTGCTGTGAAGTTTACGTGTAAAAATATGGTCTCACGGGTCTCACGAAAACAGGCTGGTCTCACGTGAACCCAACCCTATATATATATATATATATGAAAGGGTAGAGTAAAATTAGGATCATGAAATAAGAGGTTTAGCTTTCTACTGGCAGTAAGCCTCAAATAAACCTCTGATTGTGCCTAATACCACTACATTGAAGGATGTTTTTTTGAAGAGGCCCAAGCTTATGGAATTATTGATATGTGGATCTAAATAAATACAGCTAAAGATTTATATATAGGGATTTTGTGTTCATCTAGTCTATTTCAGATGACAACGCTATATATATGTGTGATCAAGTACTTGACTATACTCATTTACAGAAAGAAAAAAAAAGGATTGGGTTCAGAGATGTCAAGAGACTGGTTGAAAGAAGAGCAAACAAATAACACAGTTGAATGAATTGAGCAGTTTAATTTGTCAAAATTATAACAAAGAGAGGTGTATATATATATATACCTCCATGGTAGTTCATTAGACTTGGTTACTCTTACCGACAAACTAGGATGAGCCTTGTCAATGATTGTGGCAGTGCTGACACAAGGTTTCTCACGCCTTCCCAATCTTCAAACACAAAATGACAACGGGTTATCAGGAAAGGYAATTATCCAAGCACAAAGAGGAATCTTTTTACCACCAAATAAGATGGATGGTAAACTATTT